CTGTGTATGAGATTTTATGTTTAATTTGTTTTTACTTCATGTGTAGGGAACATTTTGGGGTTTGATTTCATTTATATATTCAGGCAAGAAAAAAGGAGACTTGGTGTTAAAAGATTTGGTATGATGATGAAAGACTATATTTGTGTTGTTTCTTTCCTGTTGAATTGTAGCCAGAATTGAAACCAATACATGAGTTACTGGTGAGTATAATGATACTACTACAGACTGTGGGTTCTGAGCTCAGGGTGCCAGGCACTAAGCTGGGCGCTTCCAATACGGGGTCCCCTCTGTGACTCACATAATCCCCATGACAGAGAAAACATTACCCCTTTACAGATCAGGAAACCAAGGCTTTGGAGATGCCATTTTTTCCAAGTTGTAGCCTCCTTCCTAGCAGTATCCAAGTCCCTGATAAAGCCGTGAAGGCTCCAGAGGATTGAAGAGACAAGGTACGATATCCTCAGTGTGACAGGTCAGATGACGAGGAAACAGAGTGACAGGCAAAGCAGAAGGCAGGAGAGGATGATGCAGAAAGAAAGAAAAGGAGCTAGGCACTGAGAAAGGGAAGGGGCTCTGCGGGCTGCGGGGCTCTGCGGGCTGCGGGGGTCTGCGGGCTGCGGGGGTCCTACCCACACAGTTGTCACGGCTGATGCCTTTGTGCGGTTGTGTGATGGGCAGTGCTCACTGTCCTAGACAGGATCGGGATCATGTAGGTGACAAATGAGGTAGGGTGATGTGAGGGATTATGCTGACTAGGTCAGCTGGAGTGGGAAGATGACATCATCCCCTGGGTCTGGATCCAGGGGCTGTGTAAAAGTGGGAAGTTAGCAGTGCCAGCATCCTCCGTGTCCTGCTGTAACTTCCCCTCCGTGGTGAACTGTGACCTCCAGTGTGAGCCACAATTAGCCCTTTCCCTTTGTGGGGGATGACACCAGAGACGCACAAAGGTTACTGAGGAGATTTTTGTTGCATCAGGTTGTTGTGTAGGTGGTGGTGGTTCGTTTTGATGCATGGGTCTCTTTTTTTGTTGACGGTTGGTTTGTTGGTTTGTTTTTAGTCAGAATCTCTCTGTGTAACCCTGGCAGGCCTAGAACTTCACAGATCTCTTAGACTGACCTCAAACACACAATCCTCCTGTCTCATAACCCTAGTGCTAGGATGTAAGACAAGAGACAAGACGTCATTGATGTTTGAGTCCTGTGGGGCATCCTACCAGACAGGCTCACCTGCCTTTTGCTATGGTACCTGCTGCAGGCCAGCTCAGAGAAGAGATTAAAAGAAATGGGCCTCGGGCTGGAGAGATGGTTCAGTGGTTAAGAGCACTGACTGCTTTTCTAGAGGACCTGGGTTCAATTCCCAGCACCCACATGGTAGTTCACAACTCTCTGTAACTTCACTTCCAGGGGACCTGACACCCTTACACAAACATACATGCAGACAAAACACCAATATACACGAAATAAAATAAATAAATTACAAAAATGGGCCTTCTTAACACAGCTTCCTGGAGGTGGGAGGAAATAAAGTCTGCACGGTTTTAACGTGCCCTTGTTATAGAGCCCCGCTCCCCTCCCCCCCTCTCTCCGAGTTGGTCTTGTGAGAAAGATTGCTGTTTTATTTTATGGGAACCCAGATGGAATCTGTCACATGGCCGCAAAACACAGAAACTTCTCTGATTTTTAGGAAGAGCAAGAGCTTTTTTGCTCGTGGGTCAGATTTGCAGCCCAAGTGCCTGTTACCAAGTGTACACAGACAAGTATTTCACCAAGATATTAAAAGTCCTGCCTGATATTCATTGTGCAAGTTTAGTGGTCATGGAGAGCTAAAGAGGTTGATGGTAGCGTGACTAGAAACCCACTTTAAAGATGAGCAGACCGAGACAAAGCATGCACACTAACCAAGACAGGAGAAGTGGCTCGGTGACCCAGAGCACTTGTCAGGCTTGGGTACAGTGGGATCATAAGCTAAGGTTTCTGATTTTCCCTTAATTTCTGATCTCATGTGCTAACAGGCAGAATCGATGCTGTTCCTTCTGACGGCTTCTCTGAGAAACTGGAAGTTCCCCTGCAGAGTTAGGGCCTGAGAAGGACGGGGTGTTGATTGTCCCCCTCCTAAACGTACATTAAATCAGTATTAGCCATGTCTGTGTAACCAGGCAACAAGCAGATTTTTGAAGGTTCATGGCTGGGTCTGTTGATATAAAAGTTTCCCTTATTGTCATCATACTTAATGATCCGAGGGCCTGAGTAGCTGCTTGCCCTAGGCTGTGCGTCAGGGCCGTGTTGGGCCTATTGTGGAGACTGCGTATGCTTCCCTGGGAGTCTGTGCCAGGAGAATCCAGGCCTCAGTGGGCAGCCTGAAGGGCTCTGTTGTCTGCTCTGGCAGACAACAGAGGTTAGTTAGCATCCCGATTGCTGCGGCCCATCCTGCACCTCTCAAAACTGTCAGCATCTTAGGTACATTTCCTTGAGCTCTTATTCACACATTCGTCTCTGAAAGTGATACAACACCATCCACGTTATGGCGTGGATGTCCATGTCTGTCCCAGTGACTGATGACAGGACAGCAAGCAGGTATTTTTCAAAAGGGACTTCTTCTCCTCCACAAAACCCAGGATGACTGCAACGTCAGTAAATAAATCTTCATTTTTAAGAAGCCACAATATTTTTTCCTTTAGAGTTATTATAAATGTCCAACAGCTTCTTACTATACACATGCACTCAGAGTTTTCAAAGGAAAAAAAAAAAAGTCTTATTCCATGATCCTGACTGATTGCTTTCGAAATTCAAACTTCAGTTTTGAACAACCGAGGATCTGAAAGACACACTGGTTTGGGAGACCAGTGTGCAGAGAGCACCCGCCTTGTTTCTTCCTGTCCTTTAACCTGGAAGAGTTTGAATAAAATTCCTGAGTTGAGATGGGCCGTAGTTACAGACAGATAAGCTTTTCCGAGCGGAATCCGGGAGGCTGCTCAATCCCCAATTACTGAAACACTGAGTTCCGCTGGAAGCAGCTGCACCAGCAATAGGAAGGGAGAACCGGGCCGCCGGCTCTCACGCCCTCTCTGGTCACACTCAGTGAATTTTCCAGACACTAAAGCTGCCATCAGGAGCAAACTCGTGTGTGAGAGCCCAGGTTCAGAGTCTCCCAAGTCCTGGTAAATGTTTTGATCGTGTTTGTACGCTGTGACAATTCGCCTTCCTGTTAGAAGAAGTCACCGGAGTATTTACGGTCTAAAGACCATTTTGTCCATGGAAATAATTTTTATTGTTCTGAGTCATTCTGTTGTGTGGAAATGGAGCATGAGTTCCAGGACAAGGATGAGACGATGTGTTTGCTTTTCTTTACTTCCTCTTAAATGGTTTTGAATGCATGAATGTCAGTATTGTCAAAGTATTTCCATATTTTTATTGGTTTAGAAGCAACGCGGGTAGAGATGTCTCCTCGCTGACAATCCGCCCTGTGTGCTCAGCATCTTGGCAGGAATGCCTGCCCAGTGGGATGTGAGCCCTTGTTTTTCTCTTAGCCCCACTCATGTTTTTCTTCTTAATGGACGCTTACCATTTTAAAGGTTGCAGAAACCTTGGGGAAAATTGAAATTGCTTTTGCTGAGCTACCAGAGGGATGCCAATTAAGTTGTAAGCTTCTGAGGGCACAAACCTGTAATCCTAATGCTCAGAGGCAGAGGCATGAGGGTCGTGAGTTCAAGGCCAACCTGGGTTTCCTAGTAACATGTTGTCTCAAAATTTTAAAAGTGAAAATAGATTGAGTCTCCATGGTAGCATTTCCTGATACCACCCAGAGCACTTCCATGATAGATAAACCCTAGACCCAGGCAGTTCCTGACCTTTATTTCTCAATATTTCTTTGATTTCACAACCGTTGTTAATAATAACCTCTAGGGAACTAAGTTTTTTAAAATACATGAATAAATTTTAACAGCAGGACTGCTGTGGGATGCCCCCTGTATGCTGTGAATATGTTTTATTGCCATTGGTTAATAAAGAAGCTGATTTGGACAATAGCCAGGCAGAATATAGCTAGGCAGGAAATCCCAACAGAGAGAAAGAAGGCTGAGTCAGGGAGATGCCATGCAGCTGCCAGAGGAGTAAGAAGCTAGAGTATTACTGGTAAGCCGTGGCATGTGGCAATGCATACATTAATATAAATGGGTTAATTTAAGTTGTAAGAGCTAGTTAATAATAAGCCCGAGCCAAAAGGCCAAGCAATTATAATTAATATTAAGCTTCAGAGTGATTATTTTGGAACTGGCAGGCAAGAAAGAAACCTTCAGCTACACATTACAGCTTATATTTACTGAGAAGCCATGGGTAAATGGCATTTTAGAAAGTATTTTCAAAGCAATCAATGACTGTCCTTGCTTTAGACTAAAATGTCAAGTTCCTAGTCATCACTGTTTCAATTACTGCTCCATCTTACTTAGGCTTAAAATTAATTCTTGTACTTTCTTACAAGAGTAAGAGAACTGGGTGGGCCTCCGGCCTTCTTGGCTTATCAGCATGCTTACCGGTCCATCTCCAACACTGACCTAACTAGTTATCCCTGTTAGGCAAGAAGAGACTAGTACTAGTCAGCCTTACACTAGAAAGAAGCTGATCAGATTTTGTTTGGTTTTCAAGGCACTGTATCATTCTGTAGACCACGCTGGCCTTGAATTTCAGCAGTGTTCCTAAGTTAGCTCTGAAATGCCAGGGTTGCAGGCATGAGTTACCACCCCCAACTCTAAACAAGTGCTTTCTAGCAAATAATTTCTTCTCTTAGAAATGATCATTTCTGATCCTGCTCTCTGCCATATATCTATACAATATACGCTTTTTATATCCACAAGAATGAGTGTGTGTGTGTGTGTGTCTGTGTGTCTGTGTCTGTGTCTGTGTGTGTGTACATCCGGGAATATGATTTGGTGCTCAGTTGCGGAGAGTTGGATTTTTACATTAGGGAGTGGTCGGTATTAATGTGAATTGTTTTATTTTCAACAGGTTGATATGATGAAAGAGGCTTTGGAGAAACTTCAGCTCAACATAGTAGAGATGAAAGATGAGAATGCAACCTTAGATGGCGGTGATGTCCTGTTCACAGGTATGAGTACATTGATTTCCTATTCTGATACCTGACTCAGACTTGCTTGTTTCATTAACTTGTTTCTTTAGTCGTCGAAATAATGGATACAAAGCGCAGGGGCCTAAAACATGCTCAGAAAATCACCGTGAAGAAGAAAGAGTGGCCTTCCATTTGAGATCATCAGTGTGATGTTCACACACAGTCCAGGCTTCCTTGCAGTACAGGTCCTTTTTCCCCGGTGCATATCATTCGAGTGCATAACTGATTGTTCTTTATAGAGGCATTTTGGTATGTATCGTGTTTTCTATAACTAAGTGAATATGTTGAGTAGTATTTCCATTGTGTAACCATATACCAGGTTTATGCTTAAAAGATTCTTCATACAAAATTAATATCATTTACAAATAATTTCTTTCCAGATGGCAAGACAAATTCAAATACATTTCTATGCAAATTGATTTGGCTTCATGCCAGCATAACTCAGTGAAATATAAATGTTAGCATTATTGTGGATCTAACCAGAATGCATATAAGGTGGCTACTAAAGAAACAATAATTATAGCATTTAACCTTCCCACTTCTTTATGATGCTGGATTATTAAGTGAAATCTCCATCCTCAGATTCATTCTGGTTATACTGAAGTGCAAGATAATTACTAGAATTTTAATTTCTAGTGTGATTTTGTTTGCCCTAATTGTCAAGGAATTTCACCACCATTGTCCAAATAAAGACGGTGGTCCTGAGGACTAGAGAAAGCAGCCTCGCATGGCCCCCATATCTGTAGCCAAAGTACAGCCCCTTTGTTGTTTAGAACATGTCTCCTATTACTAATGTTTAGATTTAATGCATGTTCCTGGAGAAGGTGCAATGGAAAGAGAAAGCAGCTTTATTTTGTGACCTTTTAGTGTCTTCTTGCTTGGTGTCCTATGCCCAAGGCTGGAGGTGTTGTATTGCCCATCTCCAAGGGGTGACATTCAACCCATGGCTTTTGTGAGTAGCATCTGGTGAAGCCGTGCTGTGTTCCGGCTAGCCGATGTTGCCTGGCACAGACCTGCCTCTGGAGTTTGGGCTGCATGTGCCCTGAGCCCTCAGAACACAGAAGGAGGGAACTGACTGCACATTCATAGCTCTGGTTGTGCCCAAGCCAACTCAGCCATTCTCCGACTCTTCCCAGTAAGATCCCCTTAGATGGTCTTCGTGCCTCTCATGGATAGACCAGAGCAGCAGACGGTTTCCTCTTAGAAAATGGCCTTCTGTGGAGCACTAGATGTGTAAGCCACACCTTCTTGCAGTGCAGAGCTGATCCAGTCAGCTCATGAGAGTAAGACCTGTCCGTCTCCTCCACGGGGCCATGACATACAGCAAGCGTCTCCTCCTTTGGTCAAAGCTGCTGGCCATGTCAAGCCCCTTGTCTTTGCATCACTGAACATGGAGGGAGTCTTGCCCTTGATTAGGTCTGAGCCTTTCTTTCACATCCAGTAAGTTCACATCTTAAGAGTTACTTGATTCAAAACTGAGATAAGGGTCTAGGAGATGACTTGATGATGCCACTCAAGGGCGAGGACCTGAGCTCTAATCCCCAGAGTCCACATAAAGCCAGAGACAGTACCACACATCTGTGGTCCCAGTGCATCTACAGTAGGATGAGAAATGGAGATGGGAGGCTCCCCAGAAGCTTGGGGCCTGCAGGCCTGGCTTGCACTGTGGTCAACGAGAGACCCCGGCTTATGCAGGGTGGTAAGTTTAAAGACCAACACCCAAAGCTGTCCTCAGATCTCTACATTTGTACCCCATTGTTCCCCCCGCCCTCCTTCCCATTTACAATTTTCCCATTTTTAAGTGTAAAATTCATGAACCATCAGTTACATCCCCAATGTATGCAAGTCTGCCCGTCAGTTAGATCAGGCAGAGCTAGGTAACTAACGGATTCTGTAGCGCTTTCTGTGTGCTCTCTGCCCCCTTCTTTCCATGAGTCAACGCTTCATTAATAATTTATCAGGAAATGGACGGAAGGAGAGCTACTTTCCAATTCCACTTCCTGCTGGGAAATGTGTCAGTCACGAAAGCAGCTACTGGGAAAAAATTGTTTCCATCCCATTTGCCTTGAATAGATAACATCAATTTGCCCCCTTTTTTTATTTATTTTGTGAAATATAGATTTCATATAACTGAGTTGTAAATGTGTATGTGCTGCTTAAAGACCAACGATAAAATAAGCGCTTGCATGCCCACCCCTGGCTTATAAAACAGGATCCTGCCAGGACCACAAAAGCCCCGTGTGGTCCCCTCATCCAGCCTTGGGAAGCCGTTCACTTTGCTGTGGAGTTTGTCTCAATATATGTATTTCTAAGTTACATGCCATCTCAGGTTGCTCTTGGTACAAGTTCCTGTGGCTGTAGTGCTCACGATATGACTTTTCTGCCTTTGACCTAAGTAGACAGATGTAAATATAATAGTTTTCTATGTTAAGCGGTGTTCTGAGGGAAGGAATATACCACCAAATAGTCTTTACTAATGCTGTGTATTGTGGGTGCCTCTTGGATTTGTGTGTTATTACCATCAACACTGCTATGTCTGCCCCTGTGTCCTCTGGGCTCATGGTTAAGAACTGTTCTGTAAGGCCAACACTTGGATTCTGGGTTCTCGGATAAAGTCCTTGCTGATTCAGTGTGATGATTATATGATTTTCCTTTCCACTTCAGCCTGTGAGTCTTTCATGTCAGGGATAAAATCCAGCCATCACTATTCACATTGTTGGGTTTAGTTTGCTAATGTATTTTAAGCGTTTGTTTCCATGGCCTATACTTTTTCTTTCTTGCTGTCCTCATCTGGTTTGGATAAAACTATTATATTACTCTCAATTCTGTATTGGAGGGATGCTTCTTATTTTTCTTTTCTTTGGAATCAGTACGATTTACATTGCATATCCCTTCAGCTTGATAAGACAAATGCATAAGCAGTTCCTGGTATGTTATTAATGGGGAGATTTTAAGCCGATTCAATTACTTTAATGATTATTTAGGCTTTCCTGGGTCCATATTGGTGAGTCCTATTTTCTGATTTTATCTCGTTTACCTCAGTTATCAAAATGTTGGTTATAAAATTATTCTTACTGTCTCTTCAGACTCCATTCCATCATAACTATACTCCCTTTCATTTGCCAAGCTTCTGCCTCCCTCCCTCGGTTTCCTCTGCTCCACAAGTTTGTCAATTTTATTAATCTTTTCAAAGGACTAAATATTGGTTTTTGTAAACCCTTTCTCTTGTGTTTCTTTTACTTCTCTTTGTTTCTTTTAAATGTCTTTATACTCTGTTTTTCTCTACATAATGAATTGACATCTTACCAAGTTTTAAATGTATGTGTCTCTAATGAATAGATTTCTCTCCAACTACTACTTATTTAAATCTTTTTTTTTTCTTTCTCTTTTTTTTTTTTTTTTTTTTTTTTTTTTCCCCCTGTTTTCGCTTGCTTGCTTAAAACAAGATCTCATGTGGCCCAGGCTAGCTTCAAATTCATTATATAGTTGATGATGAGCTTGAATTCCCAATCCTCCTGCCTCTGCCTCCCCAGTACTAGAATTATAGACTCTCTCTACCACACCCAATGAGACCCTCTGTTTGATGTGAGTATTTATATTGCCATTTAATTCTAAATGTTTCCTAAATTTCTGTTAGGATTCAACTGTTGACTCATTAGTAGATAATAGTAAATTTATTTTTAATGTGGTTTGGAGACCACCAGCTCTACTGTAGTTGTAGAAGGGAAAGCCATTTACGTTATATTTCCTTTAGGAATTATATGTCAAGCAAATCAATCTTTTTCTTCTTAGAATTCTAAATATAAATGCTGATCTCTAATGAAACCGTGGATCTGTGCCCAGGCCATCAGTGGAGACTAAAACCAGTGTGGAAAGTTAGTGGAAAGCATAGTGGAGGAATTAGGCCATTGTCACTGAACCCACTTGGTCATTCTAGTCCCTCACTGAAATATTTGTGACCATCAGTCACACGCCTTGTGTGAAGCAAGGGATATGTGGACCTCTCTGTTAAAAGAGGAACTATATCTAACAGTCTCTTGGAAACTATCAATTTACTGACAATACAAAGGGTACGGGGAAATGTAAGTGTTAGGAAACCCTCAGCCAAGTCTGATCATAGGATTGAGTTAAGGAAAGGTCTGGTTTCTCTTATACGTGAATGAGGTGGAATTTGATTATTTATGTTATCTTTTTACATTTTGTAGTTTTTTTTCCATACAATGTATGTTGGTCATATCCTTTCCCTCCCCACTCGTCCTCCCAGAATTACATAATTATTATCATTTCGTGTGTATGTTTTGTCTGTGTGTGCCTGTGTACTGTATGCATCCCTGGTGCCTGTGGAGACCAGAAGACCAAGACCATTGGATCCCCTAGAACCATGTTGTTGAGATTTACTGAGCGCATCGTCCCTGTTATGCCTAGAAAACACTACTCCCAACAGACATCCTATTCCTCTGACCATTACGATCTTTCAGCCCATCTGAGACATTCCCTGAGCCATAGGTTTAGGGGTTGCGTTGTATATTTATAGCCATAAGAAACAGTGAGTCCCTTCATGTATCCGGGCAACCACCACCAGACATCAGTGGACATTTTTTATCTTCCCAAGCTGAAACTCCTTCCCCAATCAGAAACCACTACCCATTGACCCCTCTCCCAGCTCCTAGAAACTTCTATGCTGACTACTGTCTCTGAGTTCGAAAGGCTTATTTATCCAAGGGCAGGCATTTCATCAGTTTTTGGAAGGGGAACAGGAGTAACTCTCCCAGCGGTGAAGGGAACGTTGTGATACTTTAAGGTGGTTATTACAGAAAAAGAAGCTGTGCTCAGTCCTTAGGGCCATGGACTCATTGTGTTTCGTCACATCTGTTACAGGCAGAGAATTTTTTGTGGGTCTTTCCAAGAGGACAAATCAACGAGGTGCAGAAATCTTGGCTGACACTTTTAAGGTAGGTGAAAGATGTTTGTGCCTGGCTCAAAGTAATTGCTTAATAAATATTCATGGTCCCGAGGAATCAATATGCCATGCGTAATTGTGTTTACAATCCACCGGCTCTAAAAAATTATTCTTAGTATTTGTACATTTGCTAGATGTTTTAAAGTCTATTAGATTCAAATTTGTCAACAATTAAGACCCACTGAGCTCTCTCAGGAACAAGAAAGTTACTGTGCTCACCTTCTGGCTTTTACAAAGGCACAGTCACACAAACACTAGGGCATGTTCCTGACAAAATCACTTTTAAAAATTAAAGCCTGGAGACCCAGATGTGCCTGGTACAAAATGTGATTTTCAGATTAGAACACAGGCTGTCCTCTACTGGGTACTTACTGTGTACTGGAAATTCCAAAGTATTGCATATGCCTTCCCTCAGGGTCCCTTTACAGCTTGTGGGAAGAATACTTAGTAAGGGATACAAACACACACACACACACACACACACACACACACACACGTGCAAACACACAGGAACGCATGAACGAACACACACCTCTCCCTTCTGAAATCGCTGTTCCCCATGGGAACGTGAAGCTCTAGCTGACCCACAGTGTCCACAAGGGATTCAGACAAGTCTCCCGAGGTAGTCTGCCACACAGGCGGAAGAACTAGCAAAGCAGATGCCACAGTCAAACTCTGGAAGGAAACTGCTTTCTTCTTACAAGCAGTCTTTGTTTAACAATACCTGTGACACACCTGTCAGTCAGCCCCACCACGCCCCCACCACGCCCCTACCAAACCCCCAACCCCGGGCTGGCAACCTTCAAAAGAGCGAGCATGGTTCTGGCAGTTTGTAATCCGTCTTGGAAATTGCTCTGCGGTAACAGCCCCTTGTCTTTCTGTCTGTCTGCGTAGGACTACGCGGTCTCCACAGTCCCTGTGGCGGATACTCTGCACCTGAAGAGTTTCTGCAGCATGGCCGGGCCCAACCTGATTGCAATAGGGTCCAGTGAACCTGCGCAGAAGGCCCTCAAGGTAAACACAAAATGTGCTTCTAGGTGCAGCGGGCCGTGCCTGGCCACAGGCTAGACACCAGGCAGGGATGGCAAGGACGGGCTGGACTGGCATCCGAGACACGTGGTGTGTGTGCAGTGTCTGCTCTGGTTCTCACTAGGGGAGCCAGGAACCCCCGTGTATGGAATGGGCTCCGCGGTGGTGGCCAGATTTCTGAATGATAAACACCAAGTTCATCCTCTTGCACCCTGGGGGTAGAAGGGTATGCCAGTAGCCAGGGATCTTTGTATTGCTTTCTCCCTCTAGTAGGGGAGTTGGTACCTTGAGGGTTTGTTACAATAGTCTTACCCTTTTGTTGTACCTACCCTACTGCATAATGGCCTTCTAGAAAGTTCTGACTCAGAAGGACCTAGGAATCTTGCCTTCTCCACCTTTATTTCGAATGGTAAACTTTAGCACAGGAAATGTCCTCAGTTTCTGGGTGAAGCTCGGCAGGCCCCGGAATACTGTGAGTTTCTGAGTCACAGAGCTAGTCATGGAAGTCATGGATGATGGGAGCTTTCCCTTGTTGCCATGCTTTTCCCTGGGAGACAGTCTGCAGGCTCTGGAAGGGTAGAGACCTGTCTGGCCCGTTACGGCCCCTGATTGTGATGTTCCTGGTGAGGGGCTTGGTACCATTGTCTGCTCTGAGCTGATAAACTAGATGGGGTGCCTTGCTGAGGCCACAAGACTGGCGCTAAGTGGTCTGGAAGAGCAACCCTCCCTCTGATGTGGCCCTTCATGTCAACATGCATGACTCATCCATGAACCACATCCCGGAGATTCCTCATGCAAAGAGTGAGGGGGACGTGTTTGCCCCGTGTTTGCCACGAATTGCTTTGCTCTCTCTCTCGCCCGTCTTCCTCAGCCCGGGCACAGCCTCGCTCACTAAGGAGCAATAATTGCCGTGAGCAGTTTCCCCTCTGTGGGATCTGGGGCTCATTCAATCTTTTTCCCTAACTGTATCTGTGGCAGCATTCGAATCTAGGGCTTTTAACAGCTGTGACTGGATTATCTGCTGTATTTGATTACATTAGAGTGGTTTTCTCTGGTCTCCTGTAGACTCTGCCTTTTGTTTAGCTTCATATGGAAAACTATGACAGTTCTCTGTGTAAAGGAAGGATAATGTCTTGAAAGAAAGCATGTGATGAATGGTACCGTCCAGGGAATCAGGGAAGATGGTATTTCTCCTTAGGGAGTAACTGTGGTATCTGTCCATGACAGCTGAGTTGGTCTGCAGGTGTTTGGAATCGATTATAAGGGAAAGGGAACTTAAGCTTGAACTTTGAACTTTGTTCAAAGGGAACTTTGAACCAAAGTAAGGGGAGAAAAGAAAAGAAAAAAGCCTTTACGTCATTCCCAGAAGACAGTCCTGAATTCCAACAGCATGGTGCTCACGGTCTCAGCAGTTGCTGGCTCTGCCTGGAGAAACTGACCCAACAAAGTAAGAGATAATATAATATGGCTAATTGTAGGAAAAGATTCTAATTGCTACTCAAAGGACAAAGTAAAGCACAGAGCTCTCTAATAGCTAATCAGAGAAAGCCCTCTGGGAAAATGGGACCAGAAGCATGTCAAAAGCAACGGCATTTGTCGGGGCGTGGCTCAGTGAGAGGATGCTCCTGGTGGGGATATAGCATCGGCTGAACCTGAACACAGTGAGTTCGTGAGATGGGAGCCGCTTGCCACACGCCCCTGGCTGGGGCAGGTGGGATCTACGGATGCCGTGATTTAAAAACGAGGGTGAGATCATTGTCATGCGAAGAGTCTGGGTACCTGCACATCTCTGAGTAGAAAGATCATTCCTTCAGAGATGCTGGGCCAGGACACGATAATTGTCTCCATTGCAGCCAGAAAAGAGGAGCACTGACAAGCCAGCAAAAGCCACCAACCCAAAAGTGGTCCACGTGCCAGTGCCCACTGCATGCCCTCCTTCCCTTCCCATTGACAAGTTCTGCAAGATGGTGCCTCTCAGAACATTCTAGAGAGACTTCATAGGCCTTCCTGCCGAGCTCATCTGAGTATGAACAATGAAACCTTCTGTAGCAGAAGCTATAAAAAGCCCCCGCCAGCTCCAAGGGTGCCCTTTGGAGATCATTTTTCCATCAGCACATGAGCTGCCTAAACCATGGGCCTGTGAAGCAGGCGAATGCCCGCCTGTCGTGTTCTCAACATCAAAAAAAAAAAAAACCTTTGCCTTTGTAGCAAGAGCATAACAAACTCAGCAGGAGAATAATGAGCTTCCCCACAGGGCGTGGTCTCAGTCAAAAGGAGGTGGTCAGTGACATCACATTTAGGTGACCTGAGACGCTCATTTATCTGCAAACAGCTTGGCTCCTGTATAAGGCTGCCAATAAAATTGGGAAAGGGTAAGTCCAGCTGCTGACATGGAGATAGGCATCCTGATGAAGACGTGCAGAGATGGGAACACATGTATGGTTTACAAAAGCAGAGCGGTGATAATGTGGTGTTCCCCGCATTATAGGTAGAAATAGTGAGATCGGATGAAATAACAAATATTTTCAGTAGAATCTTATGCCTCAAGGCTCGAGTTTCCTGGATCTTGAATTCCTTGCCTTGATTTCCACTGTCAGCAGCAGCCTGCTGGTGCTGTGACAAACACCTGAGATAAATAGCTTTAAAGGAGCAACATGGGTTTAGTGTCTTCTGTCCATGGTCACTTGACCTATGGCCAATACCATGGAGAGGAGCACACCGGGCAACACACTCACTCACCTGAGGACGCAGGAGCTCCCACAGAAGCGCTGTCTTAGAGTGACAGAACTTACTCCCACTGGGCGCCACATCCTAAAAGTTCCGCCCTTCCAGCAGGGCCACAGGCTGCCGGTCAAGCCTCTGACACATGAGCCTTTGGGGCACAGCCCAGGATTAACCCGCAACTCACACCTTACTCAGTGGCCACTCTCTTTCTATCGGAAAACCTTGTCTTTCTTTTAATAAGATTTTAAATTAATTTTAAATTAATAAGATTTATTTAAGCTTATTTTATATATCGATCCCAGGTCCCTCTCCCTCTCATTCTCCCATGCCCCCCACTGATCCCCCCATCCACTCCCCAGGGAGGGTGAGGCCTTCTATGAGGGATCACCAAAGTCTGTCAAGTCATGTGGGGCAGGGCCTAGGCCCTTCCCCGTGTATCTAAGCTGAGAGAATATCCCTCCATGGGGATTGGGCTCCCAAAGTGTGTTCGTACACTAGGAATAAATGCTGGTTCCACTGCCAGAAGCCCCATAAACTGCCCAAGCCTTGTAGCTGACTCCCTGGTTGGGTCCTATACTGGTTCCCTAGATGTCAGACGGGTCTGGCAGCTCCCGTTTGTTTAGGTCTGCTGTGGAAAACCTTTTCTAATTATCTTTTTCACCAGACATTGTTTCTCTCTAGCTTCTCCTCTCTCCAGTTATTTAGTGCTATTTCCGTGTGTGTGTGTGTGTGTGTGTGTGTGTGTGTGTGTGTGTGCGCACACGCGCGCGCGCACATGTGCACACTCCTACATGAATGCTTACTTGCTTTACCCAGTACCCAGAATTTGACTCGTTTCGGGGAAGCTGTGAATTTGGTTCCAAATACTGTTTTCCTCATCAACCTTGCTATCTGTTAGTGTCTTGGTGAAGAAGCCACAGCCACTTTAGGCTTTTTCTTTAAAGGGAAAACCATTCAATAGAGGTGAATCGTACACTACAAAAACTGCCCTTATCCATCACATCCCTCTGATATGTTTCCTTCCAAATCTGAACCCTCTTTTTCACACATTCATGTAAAGCTGAGACCCCAGGGGGTTGTGAATAATTAGTCTTACTGTATTTGGACATTTTGCCATGGCTTCCTAGCTATTCTTGGCTAACAAAGTGGGTTCTTGTGAATATGGTCATCATATAATCTAGGTTGTAGTGAAACTGAGATCTTGGTTTTAATTAACCTCTTCTTGCTGTAGTTTAACTTGGGTAAGGTGAAAGCAGTTGGCAATTTCTCCACCTTTGATCACTGTGGGAGGAGGTAACAGTACCGGAAAGGTGCCTTGTCGAAAGAGGAGTTTGTTATTGGCCCTGCAGGCCATCTTTGTACATTTTAATTCATACCTATCCTTACTGTTAGGAAAAGATGTCTGTTTGATTTGTTGGTGGATCAAGCAGTGTCTGTGATCTAGATTCTTTAACAGCCTGTTGGAATTCACTGAGACTAGAAGCAGCTTGACTTCAAATCTGAGCTTCTCCTCCAGTAAAGATCCGAATATGAGAAGGGGCATCCATCAATCAGCTCACACGGCTGGAAGCTCAGGGAACATTAGACCACACCCAGGAACCCACAGCCCACAGTGACACATTAGTCCTGAAGGCCCTGTTCGCTAGTGTTGGGTGTCAGAAGAGCCTTGCTGTCCTCAGCGTCACCACACATCATCCTAGGCGTACCTGTCCTCGTCTGGGGAGTGGTCTGCACTGAGAGGTTCTTCTCTTGCAACTGATCTCTGTGCCTTCAGCCTAAGGAGAGCGATTGATTCCCATGCTGGCCCGCAGGGTAAGCATGGAGCCCAAAGAACACAGACACAAAAGGCATCAGAGATGCCAGGCTCCCGCCCTACATTAGTTAATGTTCAAGGTTGGATGCGTCTCCACAGGCGCCGTAGAACCCTTGGTTGTTAGCTCATGGTGCTACTGCTGGAGGCTGTCGAACCCATGGGAGATAAAGCCTAGGACTGGACTGTGGTGGGGAAGGAGCTTAAAGCTTTCAGCCTGCCACTGCTTTGGGCTCCTGGCTGCCTAGATGAGAGGGGTCCTAGCCACAGGTTCCCACTGCCATAAACTCCAACCTGCCTTCCTCTCAACCATGGGCACAATCCTCCTTCCAAGTTGCTTTCTGTCAAGCATTTGATCATAGCCACAAGAAAAGTCTTCTTGTGGGCTCAAGTGTGAAGTCAGTACTTTTAGCAAAAGCAGTTTCTAAGTGTGTGTTATAAAAATACACCT